AAAGGATGGTCCCATGTTTCCTCTGCTAAAGGAGATAGGTTAGGAAGCAGGGAGGCTCCTTTCCTTTCATAAAGGATGGTCCCATGTTTCCTCTGATAAGGAGATAGGTTAGGAAGCAGGGAGGCTCCTTTCCTCATCATTCAGAGAATTCAAACACTTCAGTCATTTCACTGTCCGAACGCAGCCTCTGACTGTAAATGACGTCATCACCACAAGATGGCAGTGTTCACATCCGAGATATTTTAGTTTCCTGTTTGAACAACAGGAGGAAGAGGAGGCGTGTCCACATCTTTATTTACATTAGTCACGTTGACTTTCAGTCACTGGTTAAATAGAAAGTTTGTGTATCCAAGCAGAAACTGGTTCAATCAGCAGAGACGTGTTTTCAGCAGATTGAAAATCTGTCGTCACCAGTGATGCTGGAGTTTGTGAATTCAGTGAAACAGATGAAATGTGTTAGCTTTGATTGTGGGAGGGGTTTGGGGGCAGTCATGTGACCTCTGCTCTCTCTCTCTTAGACCGACCTTCCAAAGAAAGAGGCTGGAGCTGAAGAGCAGAGCGAACAGGCGGCGCAGTAGGTGAGAAGAAGAGAACGTTTAGAACCAGACAGGAAGTGACGTGGTGCATGTGTTGGCAGGTGAATTCACCTTTGGTCTTAAAGAGGTGGCCTCAGCTTTGACTCTGAAGGATTTCAGGTCTCATCTCGTCCCAGTGGACGGTTTTTAAATCACCGAAAATAATAGACGCAGACTCCAATGTGGAAATGTGTTTTTATAGAAGTCGATGAGAAAATGACTTTATATATTATATATACTTCTCACTTTATAACGTCAGGAGACATTGATTCTATAGAAGTCTGTAGAAAACGTCTCGTCTCACTAACGTCAGTAAACTTTGTCCTCAGGAGTTTTTGTCTCAAGCTGATGTTCGTTTATCAATTAAGATCATTTAGAGTCAAACAGACCAGAAAGAAGGTGTAGTGGGGGCGGAGACCACAGTGTGACTGACAGCTAGTACGGTCCAATAGAAGTGTGTTTATTCATCCTTTCATCTGATTTATTTCTTCCTCTCAGACTCGGAGGTGGAACAAGAGGAAACTTCGCTTGTTTAACCTTTGACCTGATCATCTTCAGTCAGTAGCTTCACCTCATTAACCAACAGACCCCTGTCCTCAGCTGACCCCCTGTTGCCATGGTTACACTGCCTCTGCAGCATACTTGTCACTCATTGCGAGACACACACACACACACACACACACACACACACACACACACACTGTCAGTTTGTAACACTCAGGTGATGCAACCACACTCTCAGCTGGATGGACGACATCACCCAGGTCACCATGCTGACCCCGCCCCCTGACAGACACACATCTGAGGCCTTTAACTGCATGTTGTATCTTTACTCTCACAAACACACACACACACA